TCTATACTTTTGTTTTTATTTTATTTCCTGAGTACAAAATAACTTTCGAAATTCTTTTACTTCACTCTTGTTATAATTTTCTTAGTATTAAAAAAGTTACTAATACAAAATTATGTAATTTTTTTTTTCTTTTATTTGTTTGCGTGTAAATCACTTTATTTTCCTCTTTATTCTCTTTAGAAACCATCCTTTTTCTCCTTTTGACCTATTTAAATAAACCTGGAATGGTTAAAGTTGTTACCCATCAAACGAATATTGGTACGATCCTGAATAATTATCCACAAAATTTAACAGGAATTATTAATTATATTCGATACCTCACCCATACTCTTCCCTCACACATTATTTTCTTATATTTCATAACTATAATTTGAATGTTTTTTGTATATGTTTTAACTAACATGTTGTACTTATATTATTTTCTATTTATATTGCCAACCTTTAAAAATCAATCTTAATATTTTAGTAATATGTTTTGGAAAATGTTAACCATTGTTCTAAATACGCAAAAATATATCTTTAACATTTCAAAATTATCTTTTAGTGAAAATTTGAAATGTAAAGACTTGAAAGGTGAATAATTAAAACGTTCAAAAGATACGATCTTTAATTTTTGAAAAAAAAATCTTTTCAATTTTTAAATTTTTCTAAATTTTTTATGATGAAATTCATGTGTTATTTTCTCTCTTAATTTAAGTTATATATATATNTATATATATATATATATATATATATATATATATATATATATTTACTTATATTTTAATTTTTAACATATTAAAATGGAGAGAAATGACTAAAAAGAAGAAAGAAAAATGATATAGCAACTTTAAAATTATTTTATTATGTAATTATTTTTTAAATTTATTTTGTTGTGAGTAAAATAAATTATAGATTAAAACTATAATAAAAATCCTCTAAATAAAATGAAAATAACAATTATTAAAATAAAAGTCATTTAATGTTATAACTAAATATAAACTTTGTAAAATTTAATATTTATTAATTGATAACGATATTTTGACAACATTTTATGTCATTATGTGATTGATGCAAAATTACTCCATAATCAATAATAATAATCATAAACACCAACATGAATAAATCAAAGAATGACATAATATTATCAAAAAAATGTTGTCATGATATCATTATTTTTATTAATTATTCTTAACTAATCACCTAAAAGAATTCATATTCTGTTTCATTATACTAGAAAAAATAAGTGCATTTAAATATATTTTGTGCTAGAAAGAGAGCACACGTCTGAGAAAAAAGTAGTAGTGAATAATGAAAAGGTTATCCATATGAGATTTAAATTAATTGGCAACGATCCCAAAGGTGTGCTACTTACCTTATTCGTGCCGACAACTTGCATATCATAGAACATATCTACTTCAAAGATTCTAAAACCGTGATCATAATAATAATAATCATCATCCATATCCACTCCCAAAAAAAGTGTTCTTTGTCGTTTACTTCCACTACTTTAATCACTTTTCCATCTCCACTCACTCTTTATATACGTTTCAAACGATTACTATTACTATTATACTTCTATCGTTTAATATAAAATCCTCTTCTAAGAAAAATATCAAATATGTTTTATTTTAAAATGGAGTCCAACAAATTATAAAAACACCTCTCACACGACATAATCATCGCCGTCGTATAACTGAATCTTGGTCGATCGAAGAAATGAAATATAACAGAAACCGATTTCAACGGAAATAATATTTTGATTTAATACCCTATTTTTTTTCCAGGCTCGAAAATGTCAAATTAATCTATCTTTTAAAAAAATGTGTCAATTAAGTTCTAACTTAATAAAATTTGCATTAATAAACTTAACATGTTTTTGAGTTTGAAGATGTTTCCAAGAGTGATGAGATAAAAGAGTTAAAGAACAAATAAACCTGTAAGGAATTTTGGGTTTTTTAACCAGAATTTTGACACAATTACTCTTTTAGTTCCTAAAAGAATTATAATCCATCAAAAAAATATAATATTTTTAAATTTGCATGAAAAATATCTACAGGAATATTTAATCTCTAAAATGAAAAGTTAACGTAAAGCTTACATTTTTTTAGAGAAAATAAATTCAGACTGTTTCGTTCTAAAGTTCTAATTATTTCATCCTATATTTCTATTTTTTTATTTTTTTCATCAAATTTTAAAATTTGATGATTTTTTTTTTCATTAACATTTTACAATTTGATGAAACATTTTATTTTCATAAATTTCGAAATTCAATAAAAAAATCAATCAAACAAAACATAAAAAATGGAGTATAGGATTTTTTGAATTACAGAAGACAATTTTAAAATTTTAGAAGAATTTGAAAATATAAATGAAATAATCGGAGGTGCAAAGTGATACAATCATAAATTTATGACTCCTTATATACACATGACCAAGCCAACGCAATACTTTCTGTATTTCCGAATTTATCCAATCAATTTATTGTTATAAAATAAATAGACATGTCATTTTTGACAAAATATCAAAGATTTATTAAAATGTAATGAAAAATAAAAGTTGTGAATACTGTTTTTCTATAACTAATTATTGTAAATTAAGAAAACAAGGAATAGGAACATATTAAAAAATAAATAAAAATTTTGTAAAATCAGTGGTACTTTTACGTTACGTTGCATCCATTTCATTATTTGGCATTTTAAATTTGGGTATAGATTCAAAGTGTAGAAAGGAGGGTCTGACAAGAGTTTATAAGAGTAGGGAGTAGGGACCTATATTTTGACAAAACGTTGTTTTCTTTTATATTCATAAATTTCCTTTTTTAGGTATGGCATGTCACAATAATTGATGCCTCATAATGTCACAGGATATATGAGCTAGAAGATCGTGACGATACGTTGAGGGATATCACTCAAATATTACAATTGCCAAGATAATTAATTTATATCCTAATTTAATTTCTATTACGAATTTCCAGAACAAGATTTTGTGATATATTTAAATATTAAATATACAACTATCAAAATGGATAACTCGACTCGATTCAGTCTGATTTGACCTATCTATGGGTTAGTTACTTAGTGAGTCAATCTAATCCGACTCATTTATTAGCAAATTGTTAAATGGATTGACTTACTTAATTATAAGTTTCTTCTTTTTCAAATTAAAAAAATTATAATTTCTTTTAATTTAAATCTAAATAAGTTTCACTCTAACTCCAAAGATAATTCAAAATAAATAAGATATGTCATACAATCCAAGTGTAATCCAAAAATAAATACAAAAGGCGAATAAATAAGTTTTTAATATTAATAATTTTTATATAAATTTTTCATCTATAACATTAGAGTCTTGAATAGATAAATCTATAATATTTTTCTCTCTTGAAACTTTTTTTTATCTCATCTACAATATAATAAAAAATTTGTTAACTAATGATATTGAAACACCATAATAAATAATTAAATTAAATTAGGCAGATTTGTGAGCCAACTCGGTCCACCATGGATTCAACCCAAATGAGCCGGGTTCTAAGTGTGCCAGATTGAAAACTAACACGCATAAAAAAAATATATTTTTTTCAAACCCGACCCGGTTCAAATCTATACTGGGCCGGATTGACTCGTGAGTTATAACTTATTTTGACAACACTAATTAAATATATTCCATTATGTATTTTTGATAATTTTAGAAACATGTGTTGGATAAATTCTGAAAGTTGAATACGTAACTAAGATGTTGGCACAGTGGTTACATGGCTTTGATGATCTCATTAATGACGATAGGGCTCTTAGTTTAGCCTTTAATTTCGCTATGCTAGATAGGCTTGCATGCATGAACTTGTTTGTTAATAATGAAAGCAATTTAAACTTTCAAAGCACTTCGCACTCTTTCTCTCATTTATTAATATGTTTCTTTTTCTCCTAGTTTGTTCAATTTCGGTTTCTTAATTGTATATTAAAATTGGCATCCTTAATTTTTCTAATAAATCGTTTAATGTTTCTTAAAGTTCATTATAAATAATTATACATCAATGATTATGTTTATTTTAACCTATTACTTTTGTGACAAACGTACTCAGGGAGAAAAGTAAGGAAATTAAATATGGCAAGCAATCGATGAAAATAAAATCCTTTAATTATACAAAATAGCAAATTAGCATGTTTAGTGAAATATGTGATCATAAGTGGTTGTTCTTTAGAAAAAAGATAAAAAGAGAAATAAAGAATAGAGAAAACATACAAATGATAATATAATACATCTAACTATTTAATATTGAAAATAACTCTTCAAAATTGTTTTTCAAACATATGTTTTTATAATATTTTATTTTGATTATCTTTTTTCAATCGATGTTAATTATATATTAATCTCTCTCGATCATCTAGTAGGAATAAATAGTCGTTTTTTACTTGTTTTTCCAATGAATAAATAATCGTTTATGATATTTTTCACTTACATTATACTCATAAAATATTATGTGCGTGTACCTTTTTTATCTTACAATTTTTATAAAATTTAACTTTTTTTTTAAGAAAATGATACTTTGACCCATAAAATTTGTACATTTGTTATATTTTTTTCTTTTTCAAAAAAATATAAAAATTTATTCTTTTATAACTATTTTATCTTTGTAATAAAAACGTGTTACTTTACCGTTGTGAAATACCTTTAATCTTGGCTCCCTAAGCAGTCTGGATGATTTTCCCGTATGTCATCAGAAAAATATGCAGTGTTTATTAAATTATGAGTGAAGAGTTTGGCAATGGAGAAAAGTTATTAAAGATGGCTTTGAAACACAGCAATAAGAAGGATTGAAGTGATAACCAAAATTGACGAATAAGAAAGTATTGAAACTATGGAAAGGAAAGTTGTTTAACATGTTAAATCAGTGTTAATTTGGTAATAAGACTTTTTCATGGTTAAATCGAAGAAGAAAAGATAAAATTAAAGAATATAAGATAATTATGGTGTTGAGAGGATGATTTAGAAAGTGATTAGAGGTTGAATGAAGATAACACAGAGCATGGGTGAGAAGTTGAGAAGCAGCGAGAATGAGAGTGAAAGGTTTTGGAATATGTTGAGAATAAAAATAGGAGAAGGAGAAGCAAGTTGGTGTCTCCCAATCCAGATTTCTGTGAAAGTCAGAAGACACTAAATAGGGCTCAACCTAAAGCCAAGTCGCCCATAATTCTTTTGTCCCCATATACACTCTCACCCCACCATCAATTAAAGCTCTTCTCTTCTCTTCTCTTCTCTTCTAACTCTTCCACCACAAAACTAAGCTAAGGAAAACAGAGAGAAAGATGAAGATCCAGTGTGATGTATGTGACAAAATGGAAGCCACAATCTTCTGTCCTGCAGATGAAGCTGCTCTTTGCCATGGCTGCGATCGCACCATTCACCACGCCAACAAGCTTGCAACCAAACACCCTCGTTTCCCTCTCATCTTCCCCACCTCCAAAGACTTCCCTCTCTGTGATATCTGCCAAGTACTCACTCACTATAACATCATAAATTTTCATATTTTCAGATACTGGCTCTTCATGTTCTTGGTCGTGTTTTTTCTTTTAACAGGAGAAGCGTGCGTATCTATTCTGCCAAGAAGACAGGGCATTGTTGTGCAGGGAATGTGACCTTCCAATACACAGAGCGAATGAGCATACTCAGAAACATAACAGGTTTCTTCTAACGGGGGTGAAGCTCTCGGCTACATCTTTGGATTATGCTTCCTCCTCCACCAATTGCACCGATACACTCACTGCCTCTGAAGGAAAAAACGCTCGATCTAGAATGAACACACCCAGATCAATTTCCAATGAAAATCTCAGCTCTTCTTGCAAGGTTGAAGACAACGTGGGCAGTGACACTGGCTCGGTTTCAACCAGCAGCATTTCTGAGTATTTGATCGAGACAATACCCGGTTACTGTTTCGAAGAACTCCTTGATGGTTCATTCGCACCTAATAATGGTTTCTGTAAGGTTTGCTTTACACCTTGTAATATGATACAACTTAAAAATTACAACTATAACTTGTTTTTGTTCCCTGAGGTTTTGTTTAACAACTTTGAACCGTGTTTTTTGTTGCTGCTGTTTTGTCGTTGTGGTCGCAGAAGGAGAATCATGATCATCTTTGGGAGTTTCAGGAGCAAGATCTAGCTCAGGAGTTAAGGAAATTCCAAACGGGGGATGTTATGGTTGTGCCGTTTCTTAAACTAGTTGTTCGAGATTGATAAAAAATCTAGACCAACTACTTGTAAAAATCTGTTGGGAAATATCTTCTATGGTTTCATTATCTGAATTTCTTTTTGGGTTCTGTGCTTGTATTCTTTTTATAAACTTATTCTTCGTTCTACATTTCCAAGCTCCAACCACTGTTTCAGCCTCTTAAGTGTTTTTTATTGTTGTTATTGTCCTGATTTGGCTGATTAGTATAATATTATTTTGGGGTCCATGGTTTAATTAATACGAACATGAATTCATTGAAATAGCGCAACTGAATATCATGCTCCACTTTCTCAAACTGGAAGTCGGCTAAAGCATTCAGCAGTTTTTTGATATGACTTGTAACTTTATGCGTATAAAAAGTGTTGCCAATGAATTATGAATCTTTAAAGCTATGGAGTATTTGGGTAACATGGCTATCAAATTGTCATAATTCGTCGTCAATGCTATTAAAAAACAAGAACAACCGACAGTTTTTGCCTAGTTGTAATGCGACGTTGATTGATCGTGATGGATAGCAAGATTTTTGAAGCTGTTAATTTCGTCACCTTGGGGATATTGAGAGAACGACTTCACGCAAGCTTCAAAGACATGGGGGTTTGGTACAAGGGTCATTTCTCTTTCAAATTTCATTAGAACTGTATTTGTATAATTAATTTTTAAATACTTAATATGATTAAGATGCGTAGTTAAATTAATTTCAACCTCACATTTTACTCCAACGTTGTGTGAACAGATACTAAATCTTATCTAATCCTTCCTCTTAGTTGTTGTGTTGGAAGAAACATGACATTTGATGCTCATAACGATAGAGGAGAATAAATTGACGGATATGTTGACTTTTTACTGGAAAAACATAATACTTATAAGATTCGAGTTCAATTATAAAAAAAATTAATATTATTCTTAATCTAAATCGTTAAGATAATTTCTTTATTTTCATATTTTTATTCAAGACAGGAAAGAATATTTGTTTATAATTTCTCTTATAAATTAGCAAGTTTTTCACTTCCAGTAACTAATTTATGATAGATTTTTCTATGAGTATTCATTGAGTAATTTTTATGATAGATTTTTCGAATTTACCTATAAATCTTTTTATATTAGTACTCACTATAAATATAACATCAAGAAAAGTTTAATCTATACCTAAAAAAATTACGGAAATAACAAATTTCCGAGTCTTTATATATAGTGCTAAACTTTTTTTATTTGTATTACTTCCCTCAAACTTAAATAAATTTACAAGTATTTGTTATGATGATTTGTTATTCTTTTATTTAATTTTAAAATTCTTCTCCTTGTAAGATTTACATTGTGTTTGAATATAAAGAAGAAGTGAAAAAAAAAATGAAAGAAATTTGAAACTTAAATTGAAAGAAAAAAGCAAAGTTGCACATAATTCAAATATAAACTCGGTCAAATCATTAACTGTAGATCAAAATTAAAAAAATAATAAATATTATACATGTTTTATTATTTGCTAAGTCTTTGAATTAAATTATCATTAGTTAATTTATGTAATGATAATTAAAGTGTTTTTTGTTTGTGTAAATAGAGTTTTAAATCTTGATAGAGAAAAAATCTTTTTTTATCTTTTACAACACATTTACCTTTTGGGTTTAATTATTATTTTTTTGTCTATATTTTAGAATTTGATTCATTTGATATTTTTTTTCAATCTATGTGTAAAATTAATTCAATGTGTTATTTTTTTATGTTAAATTGACGTTATTTAAAAAGTAATGTGTTAATAAAATAAAAGAATTTATTAGTAATTTTTGTTTAAATATATTTTACATAGAAACAATGAGATCCATTTTTCGTTAATCTCATCTTCCAAAGATCTTGTGAATGAATTTAAAAGTCTTAAGTTCATGTATTCTTCTTTTATGATAGAATAAATAAAAACGAAAATATTGGATTTGTGATCTTATATCTAAAAGAGTTAAACTTAAATATCAAGGAGACTGACGAGAAAAAAAGATTAAAGATGAATAAGAGAGTTTAGATCCAAACCTCTTAATAAAGTTGATTTCAAAAAAACATATAAACTAAATTGAATCTAAAAAAAGAATATGAAATCTAAATTAATAATTAAATATTATATTAGAATGATCACTTTTCAAATTATATTAACAAAAAAGCCATCTTGAATCGATTTAACACCTAAAAAGACATTATTAAAAAAATACAAATGTAATGACTAAAATAATAAAACTTAAAATATAAGAGTCAAGTAACTAAACCTAATATTTTATTATATTTAAAAGATTATTTTAGACCTAAATGTGTGTCAGAGACTCGGTCTGAGTAAAAGAAAAGAGTATTTCATAAGAATAAACTTATCTTTAAAAAATAAGCTCTGCACTAAGTATAATGAAATTACCTTTCCACCAGAACAATTCCCATGTTGAAGACTGTAGATGCCAAACGTTATACATAACTACGATTTATATGCCTACAATTGAATCAAAACGAAAGTCAAGAACATCTCCTGAGTATTATTTTAATTAATAAAGCCAACAAAAGGAAGTTTATGCAGTTAAATAGGCTGACCAAGTTATTATCGAAATATTAAAATGATAAGCATAAACAGTGCCTACGTTTAAATTAAATCCTAAATTTTGTCACGCAAATGGTAGAGTCAATTTGGTTGGAAAAACAATGAATAGTTTTTTTACCACCAAATCTCATTAAATAGTTTTTTCTTTTAATTATTAAACGTCAAAACGGTACCATTTATTAGCTATAACAAATTAAGCAATACAACTCTATTTAACTAAATTAGAACGTCACTTCAATGTTATCCTATTCCACTTTAAAAATATTTAATTTTTTAAATTATTAAATATTTTCATCGGCGACCTCTACAAATTACCATAAGTGGCAATTGAGGATTAATTTTAGTCTATTAGAGCTACCCAAGTTACATCACAGTTTCAATTTTTCTTCTTAAAAATAACTGTTTTTTGAGCTAAAACTACTCAAACGAAAGACACTTTCTCAAAAAGAAAAAAACAAGAAATCTACCAAGTGAGGCTATGATTTCCATAACTTTACTCTCTAGACTATGCATATGACCAATCAGTAGCGCCAAGTAATGGAGCCATACCCATGAGTCTCGAATTGGTTATTGCGAGCAACCGCTCTCTCTAAGGAAGATCACCCTACGCCTAAAGGGATCCCTAACCATGGTAAAAACAAGTCTAACTTTCCTATCCTCAGCGTATATCTACTTTTTCCTATAATCCTATGCATATTACTAATGCAAAAATTAATTTTGGTAAAAAATTTCTCTCATATCTATATTAAATTCTTATCTATAATCCAATGCAAATTAATTTTTATACTCTCTCAAATATTTATAGAGAAGTTTTTTCGAAAAGAGACTGGCGAAGATTCCGGTTAAAGTCTAGCAATGCATCCTATGTTCGAAGACTTGTAATGGGATCCCATTAAATATGGGTATCGTACTGATAGATAATGGGTATCAAACAACGATTTAAGTGCATCCACATAACCAAAAAAAAAAAACTCATTGCACTTACACTCAGTAAAGGACTAACACAGGATGGGCAACAAAAATCTGCTGGATTTATAAAACATACGTATAGTGCATACGTACTTCAGCAGTGCTGTTTACACCTCTTTGCTTTTTACATTCTTTCTCCACTCCCCTTTGTCTCCCTATTATACAGTTCCCATGGGGTAGTATAAAAGAAAGAAAATTTTGATATACCTTTTGAACGGCTTTACGTACAAGCAAACTAATAAAAGAATTACACCCATTATAGCATGGCGTATATTAACTCAATGGGATACCTGCAAAGATTAGAAAACCGAAAATGGGAATAGTTAATATTTTACTCATTTTGATGGAGTTCACAATAATATTGTAAAAGATAATGGAAGGACCTCTGTTATGTAAAAGCAAAAATCCTATCTGTAATATTTCTGCGGCATATTGGACACTCAGAACAAGCAAGTGAACAAGATTTACACACTGCAAGATCAAACGAGAGGCTATAAGTATTCTGACAAAAAATTGTAAACACAAAGGAAAATCACCAACAAAATTTAGACTAATAGATTCAGGCAAGATAGGAAAAGACTTACAACAAAAATGTCGGCATGGAAGCAGAATTGCTGCAGTTGGAGATTCAAAACATACTTTACAAACATGGGAATTGGCGTCGCCATTCCCAAGGTACTTGAGCTCTTTTTCCTTCATTTCTTGCATGCGCGCCTGAAATCATAAATTGTACAAACATTATTAACATAACACATCAAAGTCTCAGAAATGAGTTGCATAACAAATTTTGGAAAGTGAAAATCTTTCAAATGATGTCAACGTGCACTAAGAATAAAATTAACATGGATTATAATTAGTTTTCTTTTAGTCATGCATTACCAAAATAAAAGAGAACAAACAAGTTATGATTAGAAGTCATAGATAATTTAAAAGTGCAAAAGCTAATAGAGAACATATTTGAATAATTTCTCAATCAAGAATTTTAGTAAAATCTATTCAACAAGTCAAAATCTATTCTTAACATGGATTATTAAGAACTAAAATAAATTATTAGAAGTCGTTCATCGCAGATCGCAATTTAAATACAGAGAAATTTCGTTTGCAATTTACCACAAGTTCAGTTTGCAAAAATAATGTTGAAATTTAAATTAATAAACTATAAATAGATAAATAAAAATATTGGGTCTGTATCTTTTTAATCAAAATCAAATCAAATTGATTTAATATCCATTATTCACGGCCTTTATTCTTTATTTTCCTTATTCCCGACCTAAACCCAATAATATAAAAACTAACGGAAAATCAATTCAAAATTTTCTAAGACGAAGAAAAATATAAATAATTCCCTAATAGGGTTACCTTGAGCCGAACAACCAAAGGCTCTTCTTTGGGAATTTCATCATCTGGTTTTGGTGCATCAAAGAGCTGCTCCTTGGGAACTATATTACTTTCAATGTCATTAATTTTTGTACCATTTAAGGGTTGTGCACCATCATTTTTTTTATCCATGTTCGATTCTGGAACAGCATCCCCTTCTTTTTTCAACTTGGCAACAAGGATCCACATATTTGCTAGATCATTCTCCAAGGCCTCTTCT